CCCCAACCTTTTGGGCAACAGGGACTGGTTCTGTGGAGAGTTTTTTCCATGGCCTGGAGGGGGCATGGTTTCACATGCTGTCTGCATCCCATGGATGGGGCTTTGCTTTTTTGTGTGGCCGTTTCTGGCATGCCACGGCCCATGCCAGTCCATGGACCGGGGGTTGGGGACCCTTGCAACAGCTGCACAGTTCCAGGAAAATACAGGTAATTCTCACTTACCAACTGCCTTTAGTAGTTTGCAGTTGCAACAGTATAAAAAATCCCCAGCTTTGTAACTAGTCCTCACATTTACGACCATCACAGCATCCGTCAGTCCATGATCACCATTCGGATGTTTCACAATTGGTGCACATTTATAACTACTGTAGTGACCCACAATCATGACATTGTGATTTACGGGCTTTCCAAAAAGCTTGCAACAAGCAGAGTTAATGAAGAATGTCGAAGTAAAACCACAAGTCATGTGATGTCTCACTTAATAACCACATGAGTCACATAACAACCAAATGGGAAGTGATGTCTATTGTATGATTTTTTTTTTGCTTAGCAGCTGAGGCGCTTAGCAACAGAATTGCCCGTCCCAGTTGCAGTCACTAAGTGACATCTAGTTTTATGCTTTTAAGCTAAGGAGCCGGCAATAGGGTATGACAACCTGTACTTCATCACTGTCTCCTTAACACAAAGATGTATTTTCCTAAAGCTGCAAAGTTATTGCACGTATCCAAAGGACAAAGGTCTCTAAAGGAGATGGTGACAGCTGCAACCAGGATGGCCATGTCCTCTCCAAACCATTGCTTATATTTGGGACCCAAACAGAACCACCCCATGACTTTCCTTTCACAGACAATTAGAGCTTCTTTGCAATCACTGTTAATAAAGATGCATGCTTTAATGAAATCCCTTTTTTTCTTCCATTTAACTGTGCCTGATTCTCAGAGACTGTCTAGACAAGTCCCTGCTGTTTCGTTGGCAAGGTTTTTCAGAAGTGGTTTAACCACTGCCTGCTTCCTCGGACTGAAAGAAAGTGACTGGCCCAAGGTCACCCATCTGGCTTTATGCCTAAAGCAAGACTAGAACTCATGGTCTCCTGGTTTCTAGGCTGATGCCTAAATCAAACTGGCTCTCAAAAATCCCATATATCATTCAGTAAATAATTCCCTTGAAATATATAAAAATGTTTTTGTTCTGCTCTCTACCAGAAAGGTAAGCCTGAGGTAATCTGGCATCAATCAGCTGCAGCACAAACATCTGTAGTATTTATTGACAGACATCATAAAAGGTTGCTCTGCTTCATCTCCAAATTTCTAATCAATTCTTACATATATATATATATAGTGTGTGTGTGTGTGTGTTTTGAATACATTACCATATTAAAAACCAATATGCAATTAATTTTCCTTAAACTTGAATGGCTTAAAACCATTTAACAATTATATTACATAGAAAATATTCTGAGATTTTACCATCAAAGAAAAATATTAATACTTGTGTGTTCTGAAGCTTCATAAACTGGCTTCTTTAACATCTCAGGAAACCCATATGGATATTTTTCATCTGATTTAATACATTTTCAATAGTAAGCAATCAGTTTTGTTTATTGCATTAACATATGTACTAGAGTTATCAGTTAACCAAGTGAAAACTTGGGCTTTGTGTTTCTGGAATCCAAAGGAGCTGCAAAGTATTATCTAAAACAGCTGCTAGGACAAAAACGTTGAGTCCCTGGAGCCCCCAATCATCAGCTCTAAATCTTTGAAGCAAGGAAGTGAGGACAGTTATCAGAAATCTTAAATATTTACACCCACATGCCCACAGAGTCACAACTCAGGTTTCCCTGTAGCCAAATAAACTTCTGACTTCTTATTTTTTTTACCTGAAGGATGTTGCTCCATTCTCTCTTATTTTATTTCTCTGAACAGGAGATGCTCCAAGCGACACAATTTTGTTTCCTGCCAAGGTAATTTGTTTCACAATGGAGCCTAAAAAAAGATAAACAATCCAGAATAGAAAGCAAAATCCAAAATGACATTCAGCGAATGCACAGAACACTGAAAAGCCTATATCCAATTCTGAAGTAAAAATTTACACATATGTCAAGGTCAAAAATCCACTGTATTTGTATATAGTTATTCTACTAGGACATGGACAAGAGCAATATTCTTGATAGGCATGAAAGCTTCACTAAAGTATATAAGTCACCTTCAAGTACAGATAATGAAATAATTGTTTGATTAGGAGGCAATTGCTCAAATAAAAACAGTCAATTCTAAATAGCCTGTTCTCTCTAATAGACAAACTGCTGAAAGTTTCCCCCCCCCAATGTAACTGAATAATTATACTGTTCTTTTGTTGATAAAGTATTGTGACAATACGCCTACCCCTGGAATATCACAATACTTTTCTATTAAGGAAAAGTATTTCCAACACAGCACATTGCTGCTATGGGAATGCTGAGAGCTGCAGTCCTAAGCATCCCAGCTGTATTATCTACTCTACAAGCACCAAAAGGATTGAACCACAGCACTTATTAAATTGTATTTTTTTAATCTGCCCTTTAGCAGCCATATCAGAATTTATAACCCCTTTAAGATTTATGAATATTAGTTACCCCCATTCTAGCAACACAAAGCGCAGCAACAGATCATAGCTACAGTACATTTCTGCAACAATTCTGTATATATTATTCAGAAATTGAACATGAGGCTAATAGAAACAGCTAGGATGAAAGTGAACCTGCAAAGGATTCATCTTTTAGAGAAACCACAAAATGATTCCTTTCTCAATATGACAACTTCTCAGCTTAAATCCAAACACCATCCCAGCAACACATTTAATTTTAAAAGCCCCAGTCAGACATGATGCCAAAGCAATGTTGTAAACCTAGAAGTGTTGACCATTTGGTAAGGGAAAGTCATTGTTTCACCCAATTTTAGAACCACATCTGCAGGAATATTTCTACCTTGGATAAAAGCATTCAGTGGTCTTTTTTCACATAACTTGTTCACAATAGGGACAGAAGAACCCTGCTGATGCTTGACCACATTTCTTAAGATGCTTCCAGAGGGCTGTTGGACTGCCTAAGAATGGGGAGGAGAAATATTGTTACAAATATACTCCTTTATAACCAAAAATATAATTAATGTTGCAATTACACATTAGACTACATTACATTACATAAAGCAGAAATGTGGATACAGATTGCAATAGAAGCATCTGAAGTCGAGTATCTGAATTATGACTCTATCCAGTATTTCTGTAAAAATCTAGGGATTCCCATATTGAGAGGCACATTTGTAATTTTAACTATATTCACACAAAATGACTGCTAGGCAATACCCTGCTATGCCCCAAATAAATTCTACAATGGATATGACCAGTCATAAATATCCATTCGCCAGAAGACAAACCCTATGAAATTGCTTCAAAACCCACTTTATTATTATTTTTTTCCAGACAAGTAAAGAGACATCTAAACTAAGTGCCAGGTTGCCATTCACCATTTTCTACAAGAGATGAAAATTGGCAGGTTGATACTTTGCAGCATGACTGCTTTTTGGTATTCAAAGTTGTTGTTGTTTTTTTTAAAAAAAGAGGCAGGATGTGAAGAAGGTGCTTTAATGCTATTTTTTACACCTTACATTACATCAGAACATTGCTCGGTATGTTCTATCTTGAAACAATCAAAGCACCTTCCAATCAAGGCAGTCTATCTCAGCTAAAAGTTAGGAATGGGATTTGAGAGCTTTTACATGCACAGCAGATGCTCTGCCATTGAGCTGATTACCTGGATATTAATCTTGCTTCTTTTAGGGCTTCAGTGCCTACTGAAGGCTTGTTATTTCAATATGTATCTGGCATCTGTTAAGTTTTCTTCCTTAGATTCTAAAAGGCTCTTTGGGAGATTTGCCAAAAAAGAATAACATTGTCTAAACTATAGTAAATTTGTTTCCTGATTAAGTGAAAAAGTTTTAAATGGCAGACTGAAAGCTCTTGTGCTTTAAAGGTACAATGTATTAAGCCAATGTTGTAATGGTTAAATGTTCCCGTGACTTTTTTCCTATTGCCAAATAAAATACCCAAGACCTTTTTAAAATCAAAACGCAGAATCAAAACTTTTACAAGAGGAACTGAGGATATCCCCATTTCAGCTAAATTAAAACACTTGTAATCCCAATAAGAAAAGGAACAATGGCAATTAAGTACCTGAAAGCATAGTATCAATAGATAAGATGCTGCAAATTAAATAAGTTACCCTTTGAACTGAGATAGAGACATAAATATATTTTCCCTGCCAATGTGCAATTTTCAAGTTTGACTTGGCCTACCTAAAAGGGCTAACATCAATCTTGATAGTTTTCTGAAAGTTATACAATTTATGCGTTGAATTGAAGGGAAAATTTAATATAAATTGCTCAGAACTGAAGAGAAAATTTAATATAAATGAATATGGCATCTAAAGGGTGAAGACAATCAGAAGGCTGAGAAGAAAAAAGATAAGGCTGAAAAGCCCAAGAGAAAAATGAGCTGAATGTATTACTGCATAATAATGTAATAATAATCTGGAGTATACAGAGCCATTTTAAAATACCTTTCATCCTAACTTATCAGAAAGCACTAAATTTCAGACAGACATGGAACTCTGAAAATGATCCATCATCAGTCTTACAGCTGCTATCTGCACTGCTGAGAAAACGCTTATTCACTGTTCCATCCGTGTTTTTCAACATTGCCAACTTAAAGAAGTGTGTACTTCGACTCCCAGAATTCCCCGGCCAGCATGGCTGGCTTAATGTGAGCTTAACTTCTACCTGTCTGCTTTTATTTCTGGTGAACATGTGCATTAACATGAACAACTAAATTTCATTTTTGATATGTGCTGTTGTGCCCACAGTAAAAAATGACAATAAAGGTTATCTTATCTTGTTATTTGTTTCTCTTGAACCCAAGAATTAAAAGTAAACTGAATTAATAAAAGCAATAGCTAGCTACCCACAGAAGCCTATATACATATCTAGTCTTGATACAGAAATCCATTTGGTGAAAGATTTCAAATACTCCTGGCTGTGTTCTGCTTCTCACCATCCTAATATATTTGCTGTTTCAGTTCATACCTGTTGCTGTAGTTTCTCTCATGTTCACGTAATACCAAGAAGGACATGACAGCCTTTTCCTAAATAATTCCCCAACTGCTTATTTGTTGTGCCTTTGTAACATACAACAGTATACTGAAAGAAGTTCTCATTTCAGGTTCCTACATATGCTAAACATTCCCACTGTTTCTCTGCTTATGGACCAAAATATTCTATCTGATTACCAGTCTTTTTTAAAAAGGATAATTTTGCTAGAACCTGTACTTGAACATCTTGTCCCCTACCTGAACCCTACATTATAGGGGAAGAAGGAGATCCAAAATTCAAAAGCCAGAGAGGAGTTTGGCAGGAGTATCCTTGGTCAGGTTTAGTATCAAAACTGCATCTACTCCCATTCACAGGCTGTCTGGCTACATACCTTATTAAATATACCATAGCTTAGTGCAAAATCAAAATGGAACAAACTTATATCAAAATAAGTTTGATATAATATATCCCAAGACTGATCTCTTGCTTAGTATTAATAGCTTCTTTTTGTACAGGTTGTCCTTAGTGAGCAATGGTAATTGGGAACTCTGTTGCTAAGCAACAGTTGTAAAGCGCAACTCTACAACTCTACACCATTTGTGACCTCCTGCTGACTTTCCCATTGACTTTGCTAATTTGAACCCAGGAAAATGATCATGGGATCATGGGATGCTGCAGCAATTGTAATTGCAAGCAGGTTGCTAAGCACCTGAATGGCAATCAGGTGACTGTAGGGACACTGCAACAGCGGCAACTTTGAGCAGTAGGATAAATCTCCTGCTCCAGCACTGTTGTAACTTTGAATAATCGTTCAAGTTATGGCCATTAACTGACCATGATCTGTGTGCCACATGGGTACCATTTAGGTATGGCACATTTATTTATTAAATTTGTATGCCACAATCGCAAGACTTTCAGTAGTTAAAAAGTACATAATTGCCACAAATTTTCACCACAGATGCCTATGTGAATTTCTGGCTGAACTGTATTATTGAGAATAAATCAATTCAAAATGTCCAAACTCTGTAATTCACAATTCAGAACATTGTAGATGAAGTATCAAGCAAAGTTCTCTTACCAACTGTTTTACCTTTACAGGCTGAGAAGTCTGAATTTGCTGGGGAAGGGCAGAATTGGGATGGGCAATCCTTACAGCTGTTGGTACCTCAGTGATAGGCAAGACAGGCTGGAGAGTTGTGTTTACTGATGCAGCTGAGGTTGCTGTGGTAGTCAAGACCAACTTTGCCACTTCAAGTGATGTCATCACAGCTGATGTGGCTGATTTCATAGAATTAGTAGTAACAGTAGTTGAAGGTAATGTTGGGTTACAGTCTGGCTTTGCTACCTGAAGAGAAACTGCTCCTTTCTCCCCTGCAGTGGAAGTTGGCTGTATGACCTTCATGGTATTTATTCCTCCAATCAGTTGAGTGGAGAGGATGGACTTGTCATCTTGGTAAGAGAGTGCCCCTGCAGCCAAGGCACAAGCTGGGTCAGCAAGTGGAAGAGATTCAGAACCACTTGTAGTCGTGCAGGGTACTGAAACGGATGTCTGCGGAAAAGACATTTGAAGTGGAGAGCTGGGGACTGATGTTGCGGATTGAGAAGAGGCTATAGTCACAAAAGTGCTGTCAGCAACTGTGGAAGAAGTTGATGATGCAGTGGGATAAGTAGAAGAAGCTGTTTGAGGGACAGATTGCTGAAGACATTGTTCTATAAAAGTCTCTGTATTAGGCATTAATTGCCGTAAGGCGAGTAAACTTTTCTAGGCAAGAAAGATGACAAAAAAATTAAATAAAAATCAGACTGAGTATTTTGCTGTTCCCATGCCAGATTATAGTACATTAACATCTCTTTCAGAAGTAAATATTTTCCAAAGTCATCAGTACAATAGCTAAACTGGAAAGGATTATAACAAGCCTGCTTAATCTATGAAGTTTATGTTAAATGATATTCAAAAGTTTGCCAAGAATCCAACTATTTGCCTTTGCATCTCTACAGTCATTCGTACATTGTGGCAGAAGTTTTAGGTACCCTGGTTAACATTAACCTTTCTCAAGAAAATGTTTTGTAAGTCTGAGCATTTGCATATAAACAGAATGAGCGCTGTAGTCCTCAGTAGTCCTTGATTTATAACTACAACTGGAACAAAAGCTTCTGTTGCTAAGAAAGCTTATAAAATGAGTTATGCCTATTTTACAACCTTCTTGCCACAGTTGTTAAGCGAATTGTTATGCAAATCATATAGTTGTTAAGTAAATCCAGTTCCCCCATTTACTTTCCTTGCTAGAAGCTGGCTGTGAAGATCTCAGATAGTGATTAGAGGACCCCAGGTCGCTGCAACTGTTGTAAATACATGCCACATTTTGATCATGTGACTTGTGGAGATGCTGCTATGGATGTAAGAGTAAGGACTGGTCCTAAGTCACTTTTTTCAATGCCACTGTAACTTCAAATGGTCACTACACGAGTGGTTGTAAGTCAAGGTTTACCAGTACTTGTATCCAGCATGCCCCAGTTCAACTCTTGCTAGAGATGGAAAGAACCTATAATTTCTATAAGTAAACTAGGACTTGTGAAATGCACAGCCAGAGTGCATCTTCTTTTCTGTAGCTTTGTTTTGTATCCTTTCAGTTTGATAAACCAATGCCCACATTTTCCAGCATTTCTGGTAATATTATTACACATCCATATTATAAGTTTAGCAAAAGAGCTATTTTTATAATAATCTTATTTGCAATAGAAGTATTATTCTTGCAACCCTGAACTTAGGTGGAACTGTGTACTGAACAGGAGCATGCATCTAATCACATTCATTCCCTTTCTATGAAGGTAGGATTTCCAGCTGCATCTACTTCGAAGCATGTTCAATCACAAGTTTAGAAATCACTTTGAGACTACCACAATCAATGCACAGTGGTCCTCAATTTGATATTTTCAACCAATTCAATTCAATTCAGTGCAATATTCCTAAAGATGCACAAATGTTTCTTGGACAGAGATAGTTCTTGGTCTAGAACAGATGATAATAAGAGCAATGACAATGCAGTAGGATTGAACTCCAAAAAGCAGTGCAAAGTAGCTTGGACAAAGCTAGTTTTGTTTCATTTCAAACTAATTTTGGACATATCTGAGTTATAGTATCTACATGAAGTCTTGGAACTTGAGGCTGTAGTCTCTTTAATACCTAATATTAATGAGTTGTAATCATCTTTTTACTATAGAATATACTACTAAAGTAATTTGAAGTACATATATATTGTCAGAATTTTTGAAAAAAGCTTTATAAAGTTAAAGTTTATAAAGTTTATAAAGTTATCCATATATATTACAAATTCAAAGTAGCATTTGGCTGTTGTTTTCTCAAGCCAAATATTGTTTGCATCTCTCATACATAAGAGCAACTGGAGGGTAATTGTTTTAGATAAATAGGAGTTTTGTGAAAATCATTTGTAACTACAGTTGGAGTCAATTACATAAGCTTCAGTCAAGACTAAGGATTGTTGTCATCTGTGCAGGCAGGTGGAAATGTGATCTTTTTTCTTACATTTACTCAGAAGAGATTAATATCAGTTTTAGAATATACATCTGACAAGGAAAACTGTATGGTGTCAAAATGTGCTAAACTTTAAGCAGCCTTAAATTTAATAACTTGGCGAAGCATTGCCTCTTCTCTCCAGATTCATGGACAGAACCATTCATGCTGAAATGCACTCATCTGAAAGAAATATAACTGAAAGGAAATTATTTATAAAGTGGTCTGTCTTTACCTGGCTTTCTTGCAACACCTAAGTGAACAGTGTGTGTCCCTTTTAAGTCATTCAGTGATAATTTGGCTTTGGCTTAGCTCAGTGTTTCTCAAACTTGGCCACTTTTAAGATGTGTGGACTTCAACTCCCAGAATTCCCCATGCCTGTTCTCTTAACCCAGCCATGGTGTAACGGAGCTGTTATGAAAATACCAAGAGGGGAAGGGAGGAATTTCATTAGCAAGGCTTTCAAAATTTCTTGTCGACAAAAGTGTTTTCGGATGCCCCAACTCCAAATTTTCATCATCATAGTACCTGACACGTGATACAAGAATATTCATTAAGACATACCTTGAGAAAGGGAACAAGATTTGGCTGGGGTGAAGACTTCAGTTCCACATATAGTTCTTTGGTAAATTCTTCTGGTTCAATTTTAGCTTCCTAGGTAGAAAAAAATTGTAGCACAAATGTAAACTGTAGTTCTGCTAGACAAGGCTCTAGGTAGGAAACATCAATTCCCTTGCATTCTAGTACTAATTAATTCCATAATGTGCACATTTTCAATACACCCTTTCAATATAATGCCTTTTTTATATTGAAGGTCTTCTCCTTCAAACCAATTTTCACTTTTTAACAATGAACATCATTATATAAAGAAGAAAATTTTCCTGACTAGTTTAAAGAAACTGGAAAGTTTAAAGAAACTGTAAAAGCACATTTATAAGAAAAGCACCTTGAAAAAAGAAATTTCTTCTAGACTTTCATTTTTGGCTAAACAAAAATATACCAGATATGGTACTCTGCAGAGATTTTCAATTTTACCCTCCATTCGGTCCAGTGTGCCCAAGAGTGCAGAAGTATGGGTGCTGTAGTGCTAATCATAGCAAAAATAGCTGGTTGCCTACTATAGTCATGCAGTGCACTTACTATGAGTTTAAAATGTAAGAATTACAGGCAGTCCTCACTTTGTGATTATTAAAAATCCCTACAGACCCAGTAAAAGCTACTTATAAAAAAAGCTCCTTTGTTTCTAGAGTTCCAACAATTGCGCAAACCCCAGAAGTCTCAAGGCCACATTTTGGCACTTGGTAACCAGCTCACCTTTCCAGCCAGTTGCAGAATTCTGTGGTAAGGTGATGGTGATTTACTATGTTTTTGTTGATTTCCATCCTTTTCAGCCACTTTCTGGCCAAAACACAACCCACCCATAGGAATACATTGATTTGCTTAATGATCATGGCATTCACTTAATGACCACCACAGATAAAGTGATAAAATTGGGTCTGGTCATGTGGGTGCCTTGACTTATGACCATGGCTTACGATGGAAATTCTGGGTTCCATTATAGTCATAAATCGAGGGCCACCTGTATAGTTTTGCATCCTTGCATCCATTTGCATGATATTAGTTCCTTTTTTTCCTCCCTCTCATACTTAAAATTATACGATGAATTATAACAAGCTTGACTTTGGGTCAATTGACTTTGGGTCAATCACTCTCTCATTTAGCCCAATTCACCCCACCGGTTTATTGTTGTTCCTTCCTCCTCATACCTATTTTCCGCACATTAGGTATGCTTGCCACTTTGACTTTATAAAAATAATAAAGGTGGGCTAAAATATATAAAAAAATGTAACAGAGATTGCTAGAACTAAAAGTCAGTATTTAATCAGGATCACTATAATGGAATAAAAATGTGAGCACAGGGGTATTATTTCACAGTGTCTCCATTCTGGAATCATCTTACAAAATGACACAAAATTATAGCAGAGCCAGGTTTCAAGCTATTATGATAATCCAAGATTAATGAACATACTTGCAAGTGTAAGAATGAGTTTTCATATTTAAGGTAAATTCTTCTCTTTTTATCATGCAGCAAATCTAATGTTGGACATAGCAAATACACTGATTCCTTTTTTCCCAGAAAGCAACACTGCTAAGTTTTAATGTAATTTGACTTCCACAAGCAGAAGTAAAACTCAATCACAGAAATGGCAGCTGAAGACAATCTGTATAGATGCAAAACCACCCCTTCCAATAACCTGATGTTGTTAGCCTCCCCCAGTTTATATATAAAATTAGCTCCCCTATAAATGTTCACAGAGATAAATACATGACATACTCGTGTAACTTTCACAGCTAGTACCTGTTGGGCAATATTGGGCTGCAGGGTAAGTGACCAGTTGTCTTTATTTGGACAGTGACTCAACACTGCCCAAATAAAGAAACTGAGATTTTCTGTGATGAAATGACAACATATGGCACCATTATATGAATGGTACAAATGATGCAAAGCATAAAATTGATTTCATTTGTGTGATAACAGTATGATATACACAACATTAAAATCATGTCTCCAGAAGTTGTGAATGTTCCAACACTGGAAGTTTTTAAGAAAAGATTGGACAACCATTTGTCTGAAATGGTATAGGGTTTCCTGCCTAAGCAGGGGGTCAGACTAGAAGACCTCCAAGGTCCCTTCCAACTCTGTTATTCTATTCTGTTCTGTTCTATTCCTATTCCTATTCTATTCTCCATTCCATTCCATTCCATTCCATTCTTTTACTCTACTCTACATCATTCTGTTATCACACAAATGAAATCAATTACATGTCTTTATGGCTTGTCCTGGAGGCCATGAAGATGCCAACAGTACTACATTAAATAGCTCTGCTTGATAATGCAAATGTAAGGACTACGCAGAAGGCAGGTATGTTAAGATGGGCAGGAAGTTTGGAAACTCCAACCAAGCAGCTTCAAACTGCAACCTTCTGCCACAGATAAAGTCCCACCGGAAACATTCCTGAGCAAAGGCATTCAGAATCAGGACAAGAGTACTTGCAGATGAGCTTTTACCAACAGACTTTGAACCAGATTCTTCACAGTCTGCCCTGTTTGAGATGCTTGAGATCCACTGGATGCCAGTTTTATTAGTGTTGTAAGGAAGTTTTTGCACTTTTTCACATTTTCCAGCATTTCCTGACAACAAAACAGAAGATTGTGACTTAGATCAAATGGTTATGAAATTACTACTTCTGCACTGCTAGCCTATTTTGTACTTACCGTATAACTGATAGGCTGGGTGGCTCTTGAGTCACCTGTATCAGCAACTGGTTTTGAAGTGAAAGCCAACACTGGAGAGTCAGAAACAGGAGGCTTTGCTGATGATCCAGCAACCTGTGATTTTGCTGTCAAGCCTATAATATTTGGTGATGCTACAGACTGAAAGATATTCAACATACAAGTTACTTGCAACGTTCCTGGCAGGACCCACGCAGATGTTGCTGCATAACAAAGCTTATTTCCATGAGAATGAATTTTCCTTTGACTAATGTGTGATCTCTTAAAGAACTATACATTAAATTAGCTACTCAAGAGAGGGTTTACAGGCAGTCCTTACAATGGTTTGTTTAGTGACTGTTCAAATTTACAGTGGCACTGAAAAATGTAGCCTATGACTGCTTTTCACATTTATGATTGTTCCTCATGGTCATGTAATCAAAATTCAGATGCTTGACAAGTGACTCATATTTATGATGACTGCAGTGCACTGGGGGGTCATGTGATCACCTTTTGTGACCTTCTGAAAAACAAAGTCAATGGGGAAGCCAGATTCAATTAACAACCATGTTACTAACTTAACTGCAATGATTCAATTAACTGTGGCAGGAAAGGTTATAAAATGGGGCAAAAATCAGTTAAGAACTGTCTTGTTTGGCAACAGAAGTTTTAGGCTCAACAGTGGTCATAAATTAAGGACTATTTGTATTGCAAGAGTAACTGAATTTTGTTATATTGTTTTTTATTTATAAAGTGATATTTTGTTTTCAACTTTTCTAAATTATTGGATGAGTGCTAAAAGAAAAGGAAGAGAAAAGACTAGCATCAGCTTTTCTTTTCTACATCCAAATTTCTTTGCCCTGTCTTTTTTCCTTTGGGCAACGCCTTTTCCAGGATTTCATACAGACACATGCATTATTCAAGCCCAAACAGGAAAATAATTGACGATTGATGTCTCACATCTTGGCCTCTGTATGTAAGAGACAGAAGACAGAATTGGCTGCCAAATGATTCCAATTCAGCGTCTTGGTCTTTTCTTACTTTTACATCTTATGGGCACAATAAGGATACCAATAGCACTTAGACTTCTATACCGCTCCATAGTGCTTTACAGCCCTCTCTAAGCGGTTTACAGAGTCAGCATATTGCCCCCAACAACCTGTGTCCTCATTTTACCGAGAGAAGGCTGAGTCAACTTTGAGCTGGTGAGAATTGAACTGCTGAACTGCTAGTAGCCGGCAGTCAGCAGAAGTAGCCTGCAGTGCTGCATTCTAACCACTGCACCATCACAATCATATCACCATAGGGCACGGGTCGGCAACCCACGGCAAAGAGCCGCATGTGGCTCTTTGAGCCTTCTCCTGCAGCTCCCAGTCCTCCTCCGTCATTTGCAGAGAGAGAGACAGAGAGAGAGAGAGGCACTTGCGCTTCCCTTATCTCTCTCTCTCTCTCTCTCTCTCTCTCTCTCTCTCTCTCTCTCTCTCTCTCTCTCTCTCTCTCTCTCTCTCTCTGTGTGTGTGTGTGTGTGTGTGTGTGTGTGTGAAAAAGAGTGAGAGGGAGGGAGGGAGGGAGAGAGAGAGAGAGTGAGAGAGGGAGGGAGAGAGAGAGAGGGAGAGAGAACTCATGCACAGCAGCCTCTATTTCTTTTTAATTAAACTCTTCAATCAAACCCCCTCCTCCGGCGTACGCGCATGCGCACACGGGTTTTGCGGCTCCCAGTGTTTTCTTTTCTGTGGGTAACGGGTCCAAGTGGCTCTTTGAGTGTTTAAGGTTGCCGACCCCTGCCATAGGGTAATCGAACTAACAAAAGAAACATTTTGCTTTTCTTTTTCAATTCACAAAATTACTAACAATCAACAAGACGGTCACTGCAAAGGCATCTGGGATACTGGTTCATATTGAAGGCCTAATCATGACGTAGTGGCTGATTGTGCTACTGATCTGTTCCCTCTCTTCCCAAATTGTAGCCCCTTATTTGATTCAATGCTTGCATAGGATCCGTATCATGCTAAATGCTTACTTTATTATTTTAGAAGGAGGTTAGCTAGCAGTCTGATGGCTTATAAAAGAACTCCCTCCAGACTGAAAAAAGCAAGGGCCTTCTTACTTCTGGCTTATCCAATTCTTATAGCAAGCAACAAAGAACCGGTTTCATTTTGCTCAAATCAAAGAAAATATAAAAACAGGATACCTAAAGCCATGACTACTACAAGCACATGCATATGTACAAAAAAATGTTACAAACTTCATTAGCTCTGCGAAGCAGAGAATCTACAAGGTTGATCATCTTATTGCTGCACATGTCACTAGAAACTTAGAATTGCTACTCCCTATGGACAAGTGTTTCAGCAATATTGATCAGAAATAATTTATATATAGGCTGTTTGCATTAGAGAAAGACACATCTTAATTTGGAACTGCATATTTAAAACCACACTTTTTTCTTTAGGTTTGTGAACCACTGTAATAAAAAACTTAGCAAGAAAACTAAAAACTAGAAAACAGAATGCAAATCATACCTGAATTATAGCAGGCTTCTTAACAGCAGAAGTAACAGAATGAGTTGCCCAAGACAGTGTTTTAACAGGAGCTGTTAGTACTTTAAGTACCTGAGTTCCAGAACTCTTTCAGTAAAGTAAAGAAACAGATTTAATGTAAAAAAAGAAATCACTTTCCAGCTAGTAATCAATGAAAGTTCCTTACTATCTGGAAATAAGTTATCTGCTTTGCATAAAAATGGCAATTCTTCACCCCCTCCCCCCATATATAGTTTTTTCTATTTTTGTGTAAGTTGTAAACTTCTTTGAGTGTTATTACAAATGTTATAGCACTCAGGGTAACGCGAAAGGTTAGTGCAGAGTTAAGTTGCATTTATGACTGATTATTCAAATACACATTTATGCTGTCTTACATGCAAGAAAATATTTTTTAAGCTGCAAATATTTATCATGTGACAACAGTAACAGTGGCAGTAATAGTGAAAAAATGCTTCTGTTGCACTTTCTTACTTATAGACAATTTGTACTACCAAAAGAAATCTATATCAGATTAATTCTAAGGGCCTTGCAATTCCATATGTTCAAAGATGCATTATAGCAGCAAAGGAGCGAGCAATCTTGGGGGGGGGCAGGAGGAGATATTTTGAAAGTATTCTATGAGTATTGTCTCAAACTGGCTGCTATGGAAGCTGTAGGCAGTCACAACACACCAATTTACCACAGTACGAACTGGGGAAATTGATTCCCATCATCTGTCCTAACACACTGGTGCTTTATCCCACCACTGCTTAATCACATTTGGAGCTGTATGTCAATTTTCAAATAAAGCATTTATTTGAACAGTTATCATCTTTATTTTCTTAGAATATTTATGGCTCCAGTATGAGGTTCTACATTCCTGTAAAGGTCAATAATGACAAAAACTGATACTTGTCGTTTTCTTATATTTAAAGGAATAAATAAAAAGTCAGAAAAGGAACATTGGTGGACACTGTTAGGAATTATACTGATGCCTAAACTCATACTATCTAATTCTTACAGGCACTAAAAACAGCAAGAACATTTAAAGAATTACCTGTACAGGCTGAATTTTGATTGTAGGTGGAGGTATTGAGCATCTTACACTGGTATTATTTGAGGTCTGACTCTGAGTTTGTAATAATGCTTGTTGAGATATCAACATTAATTGACCAGTATTACTTCTGACCAGAATCATTCCTAAAAGAGAAAACACTGTCGGATCTCCCACTATTCATCCTTACCAAATAACGGTATATTATTTTGAGCATAGATAAATGCAAACAAGGTGAAAGAAATACCATCCTTTATTGTATTTAGTCCAGAAGTTATTTTAAGATAGGAAATACTGCAATATTTTAGTACTTCTGTACAATAGTACAACATTTTTCTCTAGGAGCCTTTTAAAATTATAAATGACTACACTTTTTGCAGATTTGCTGCTAGTTACAATAAATGTGCCTAATATTTTCACTTCACACAAAAAAATCCAGCATATTTAAGCAACAAGGAAATTCAGAATTAATTTGCTCACAGTTCTTCACAGTTAGAAAAGTTCCAAGATTCTTATATTTTAAGTATGATCAAGCTTGTCAGCTTGGGTTATTTCTAATTTTAATGCAAAATACAGATGGTTCACATATAAATGTTGGCCTTTATTGACACTATAAGAACAGATTAAAACAAGTCACTCTTTGCTATACTCAAAACACACCAGTACATTTACATTAATTTATATTAATAGTTTATTGAATAGTAAAGATCAATTGGGATATTCCAATGGGGAGGATGGTGGAAATGGAATCTTATTTCTCCATGTCAAACCTAATTTCACATACTATATGCTAAGTGGAAAAAAAACCAGTGCTATTTTAAGAGTATGGTATAGATAAACCCAGGTTATGCTCAAAAATACCCTTAATGATTTGAGCACAAGAAGCATTCTATAAAAAAGAAACAATGGGAAAAGACATAGTTAACATATAAGAAGTTTTTAGTACAAGAAGATGTAGAACTTAAGATGAAATCAAGAGAACAATTGACTGCAGGAAGATTTAGTTTTAAATGGTTTTCATGTAAATAATTAAGAGACATTTTATATAAGTAAAAAGTAGATGAGACTGAACATAAAACAGAATTTGAAATTGAAATATGTACAAATGAACATCATGTTATTGCTAAAATGTATAAACTTTTGCAGAGATATGAAGCAGAAGAACAAGTGATGGGGACACATTCTAAAATGGGTTATATTTTTTTATTGTAACATATAAATGGGAGAGAATGTGGATTAAAATACTGAAATTCACATTGCATTACAATTTAAGAAGGGACTTTTATGAAATGATATGATTTTACATGAGCAGACATTATCAAAGATATATAAAAGTACTTCTAATCACCACTGAAAATGAGTTATGGTGGGGGGCTTGGATTCAAATATATACAATGATCCAAAGAATTTTAAAGACCAATATTCAGATGATACCAGAACTATTCTTATTGGGGTTTATGCCAATTAGGGTAAACGTATTGAAGACCGATTTTGTATACGGTAAGTGTAGCAGAACATTATAAGCACAAACATGGAAAAATACTGAAATATCCATAACGGGGCAATAGATCATGAAGATGGCATAACATGCAGTAATGGTGAAAATAATCTGTTTGATCAGTGATAAGACGAGAATTACTTGTATAAAAGACTGGAAACCTCTTCAGAGCTTTATGCTGAAAATGGAAAAGCATGCATTTGATAATTTACAGACTTGCTAATTAAAATAAATTGAGTATGGGAAAAAGAAAAGCAAGCTGTAACTTTAAAGAGGGAGGACACATAATGAATTTGTTTGCAACTGCTATAAAGAAGATTGAAAATTGCCTCTTAATATCTCTTTTCCACTACCTTCACTCTTTTCTACTTTTATCTTTTCTGTCTTTTTTCTTTCACTATATATATTTTCCTGTTTATTTTGTACTTATGTACTTACATACTTATGTGAAAATGTTGAATAAAAACTATTAACAAGAAAGAAACTCTGAATAAAAGAATCCAAACCCTATTGCCTACTAGTGATGGTATCATCTGAATATTGGTCTTTAAAATTCTTTGTATCACTGTATATATTTGAATCCAATATTATTTTGCTTTTTTGCAATCAAATGCTTTGATTATAATAAACAAACTCTACTCTGCAAATGTGGCATAGTAAGTGTATAAATATATTATACCAGGGTTGTAATTCTGTATTAAATGTTAGAAAGATCTTCATAAGGTGTGATGTAAGGTATACGTTTTTCCTATTTGTCTTCTACTGACAAAGGAATGCAAACTTTATGCAAGGTTCAGAACTAACTTTTAATATTATGTATCAAATTGTAGATTATGTAACACTGCCACCTAATGGTACAAATAAAATATAATATTCAAGTATTTCAAGAGTTTAAGTGTGTTAGCTCTATCCCACAATTTCACTGGAGAAAATTTTGTGTGGTTTACAAATACATATCTACTGTTTAGTATATGTATTATTTTTACAAGATACGTTTTCTTTAAGAAAAATAGGGGTGGGAGGGCAGAAAAAGAGATCATAACAGGATTTAGGGCTTTTAGAGCTTCATGAGCAAGATAGTCCTTCTTTAATGACCACTTGTTCAGCAACAATGACCATTCAAAGTTAGGATGGCACTGAACAAGATTTATGACTGAGAGTTGTAGTGGCAGCCATTGCAACTTTCCCACAGTGATGTGATCTCAATTTGGATGTTTGCTAACCAGGTCACAATTATGACCTGCAGTGTCTCACAGTCCCATGATCACCATTTGTGTCCTTCACTGCTGGCTTTCAACAAGTAAAGTCACTGGGGAAGCCTGCAGGAAGATGCAAAATGGCATTCACGTGACATCATGCCTAACAACCATTTGTTTAACGATTTGCTCTGCCAGTTGGCCTGAGGCTCCAAAGGTCATGCTGGACGTGGCTGAGATCCCACCTCACCTCTGCTTAGTCTATTCTGTCTTCCCCATCTTTTAACTTTATTTGTATTTTATAGTGTTTTACTCTTATTGTACACATATTGTTGCATTGTTTTATTCTTTTTAACACTGTAATCTATCCAGAGTTACCTTGTGGTTGATATGGGCAGCAAATACATTTAATAAATAAATCAACAATAGGAACTTGCTGTTGTAAGTTGGCCCAATCAAATGACATTGCATTTTATGACGGCATCGCTTAGTGATGGAATTGCCGGTCTCAATGACTGTTGTTAAGCACTGACTACCTGTAGCTTCCCATGTCCTGGCTCTTCCATCAAATTTGGGGTCAGAGTGAGGGAAAGACTCTTTGTGTAGCATTTGATCTATTAGACGGTTTCTCTCCACCAGATGTTTTCTTCTAAGGGATGCACAACTAGTTTTTATTATATTTTATAAGCTGCCCTGTAGGAGATGACCAGGTTGAGCCCGAAAGAGGGGTGAAATGCGTCATCACTCACGAGTCCTTTCACACTCACAAGAGATCTAAATCCAGTCTACCTTGATTTCCTTTATATTTTTAACTTCTCCTAATTTCCTTTGATTGTTAATAGTTCAGATTCTTGTAAAGAACTTAAGCTTACAATAAATCTTTATACACATTTGAACTGCCTGGATCTCCTGATTTCCTTGGTGCTGACATGCCCAAAGCTATGACAGATTTAGGTAGCCTATAGATTTCATAAATAAATATAGTAAATATGAACGCTACTGCTCCTGAGATTGAGGATAAGGTGCCTAGTGGACTGGCTTTACTGACTGATTAGGGAAAGTGGGGAAACAAATATATCTGCTTGTTAAGTATAATGTATCAAATCACAAAATAAGTTTCTTGTAAAAAATGCATTAGGGAAAATGCATTAAAATGCATATCCTAGGAACAGTGTCATGATCTTTTTAATGGATTGCTTTAAAATGAAATGAATATCCAATGGAATAAATAAATGGAATAAAGAGAAAGATGAAAAATGACCATGTATAAATCAAATTCAACAGACTTGCAAACACATGTTATTCACACTTTCTTTCATGGCTGCAAAGATATATTGCTAAAGTGCTAGGCATGAATCAAGAGACCCAAGCTTAAGTTCTGACATGATCCCTGGGAGACTTTGAGCCATTCACACTCTTATTCTAACTTAACTCATCGGTTTGTTAATATAAACTGTATGCAGCTTTCAACTACCACTATACACTCTTTGGAAGTCACCATATTCCTTTCTTTGGTTATCAAACCTAGAAATAAAGATTGGACCAAGGGCTGCTGGTTATCAAATGGCAGAAAGAATATGCATATTGAGAAACACTGAAGCTAAAGTATTATTTCAGCTAAAAAACATTCCCAAGGCTGTGAAAATAGTACAGTGAAAGGAAAATTTGAGTTACTTAAGTATTTCTGCAGTGGAGACCTTATAATGTACCTCAATAATGGGGAGAACATTAGTCAGGTAAAAATCCAAATTGCACCTATCAGAGACAGAAGACTATAGAATTGAGCAGAGAGGAAGTGAAGAAACCTTGACAATGTCAGTATAACCAGTAACAGGTATGTTTCACAAAAAGATCCAAAATAAGTATTTTATACAAGGAACAAGTTGCTCAGCTAACTCCTATGTGATAAATGCTTATACAGTAGGTGAGGAAAATTAGGACCCAAAATACTGAATTCTAGCAAGAACTTCACATAATCCTATCCTCTGTTGACACTGCTTAAATAGCATAAGCAGAAAATAACCAATTCCTCAAATGATGTGTTCTTACAATACATTGAACAAAAATGGGAGTTCTACAGCCAAGAAAACATTATACTTCCTTATTATGATTGAGTATACTTTTCCATCTCCCTTCTTGTGGTTCTAATTGTTTTTATTTGGGAGAGCTTTAACAAAGACTACTTGTGCTGCTACTGATCTGCAGGTTGCTGGGCTAATGACATTGTCATTAATGGGTCCATAACTTCTACTTAACTTTCTATTCATCGTGGTTACATTTACACTCTGCTTTCAATTGTTATTACTGGGCAAGTTCACATAGGAAAAAATACGGTATGCCTGCCATCCTAGTCTTCTACCTGGTTCTGATCCCAACTGCTTTGTCTTCCTCTAGGTCAGGAATTCTGGGAGTTGAAGTCCACAAGTCATAAAAGAGCCAAGGTTGCCTACTCCTGCTCTAGGTATTTGTAGGTCTGACATTCCAATTCTGCATTTGAGTTGGCTAGAGCAACTCTATGCAAAGAAAAAGAAGAAGAAGGTAACTACCGTGTTCCCCCGAAAATAAGACCAGGTCTTTTCTTTTTCTTTTGTCTCCAAAAGAGGCACCAGGTCTTATTTTCGTGGGGTGTCTTTTATACTCACCACCGGCACCGACAGTCCTGCCCAGCCAGTCCACTTCTTCTGCAGTCGAAGGAGCAGCTCATTTTGCAGCTGCATTCCAGCCTGCATTTCTCACTCACAGGCCTTTCTAGAAGGCCTCTGCAGCCGAGTACAGAGCAATGGAATCCATAGGTCTTGCCGAACCAAGCTATGGATTGAATCCATAGCTCGGTTCTCGGCTGCAGTGGCCTTCTAGAAAGGCCTGTGACTGAGAAATGCAGGCCTGGCTGCAGAAGACGCCATAGAAGAAGTGGGCCGGCAAGGAGACCGGACCGATGTTCCATTCACCCACACCCTGTGCACACCGTCGAGGTGTGGGGGTGGGTCGAACTAAAAATCCACACACGGAGCGGGGTTTTGATCCCGAATGAAACCCCTATCCCGAATATAATCCGGGTGGGGGTTTTAGTTCGATCCCGAATAAAAACCCCATCCAGAATGAAAGCCCTTTTATTCCATTGTCGTTGATGGAAGAAACTGATTTCAATGGTGTTGGAAGAACTGAATGGCCAGGATGAACACAGATTATCCTGGGGAAAGTCTATCTGTATGGCCACTACAGACCATATCACACATAATCACTCACTCAAGACCAGTGCTTAGTCTTTCTGAAATATTTGGATAAACAGATTTTACTGATAGAGGACAATATGTGTTCTGTACTCCCATACATTCAACCCAAAATATGGATCATGTATGTAGATGACACCTTTACCATAATAAAAAGGGACTAGAGACCACAAAGAACACGTAAAACCATCAATGACATCTTCAAAGGAATCAAATTCACAAGGGAAGAAGAAAATAACAAGATACTACCTTCCTAGATATCCTTACTAGCAGAGACTATGATGGCAAGATAGAAACACGTCTCTACCAAAAAAATTGCATCAATGTAGCACACAAATCAACTAAAGCATTCCAGAATGTCCTAAGTAAGTCCAAAGACCCAGCAGTCCCAGAAGAAAAAACAGAAGTCATCTGTTTTTTATGCAATGAAAGGACTATAACAGCCACCATGTAAGACAAACAAGCAGAAGACTAGCAGAACATATCCATAAACACAAACTAGCAGTCAGAAGACAAGATTTTTTTTTTTAATTTCCCAACACATGGACAGACTTAACCATAGTTTCAACTGGGAGACTGTAACCATCCTAGAGTAAGCCAAGTCTAAAAACACTAGAGAATATCAAAAAGTCTGGCACTCTGACAAATCAGCCGCCAATAGGCACACAAACATCTACAACCGTTTAAAAGGGACAATGAACAAAACATCTCCCTACCAGCAATCATCACCCAGATGAGCAGAAATTAACACCAAAATTAACATCAGACCAGCAATCAAGAAGTAAAGAATACTCCAATCAAGGACCTGCCAAATAAGCTAACGATAAACAGCCCAACCAAAATGCTACTAAGGCTACTTCCAGCAATGCTGACAGGGCAAGCCACTATATAAACTGAGAGCAAACCCCACTCCCTACTAGCACTGATAATATTACCTAGTTTGGGTAATGAAATGTCTACAATAAACCAAATAAACTCGGAAAGCACCAAGGACACCTCAAAACAGATTTTAATTTTCAAATATAAAATACTGTTATAACATAGATATATCAACTTATTGCACCAGAATCTACTAAATAATGATATAAAGGAATTTTTATTAGGAAATTGTTAATTGTTACAATTTTTACATAATATTTCAATTTAACAAATTAGATATTTTTTGTCAATAAATCAAAAGATCAATTTATACTTTTACACTCCTCTACCAAAAAAGACCAGTATATCAAACCTTTACATTTATCTCACATAAATTACAACAAATTGTAGATACTCCTTAAAATCATGAGTGAACTATTTATTTGATAATCAGGAAACAACAATTAAAATAAAGTTTGGGGAAACTGAAAGTTCAGAATTGAGACAGGATGGCATCAAAGCTATATACAGTCAGCTTTTTTAATGTAACACCAAATTTATTCTGAAAAATGCTGGAGTAAAAGAGATAGAAATTGGAATTAAAAATCCTAGGAGAAACTTCAACAAATTCAGATATACTGATAATGCTACCGGTTGGGCTAGAAGTGAAAAATTTAATTGAAAGTGAAGAGTACATGACAGCAATAATTTTAAGCCTTGATTGTGTTAACAGGTAATAGCAACTGACAGAGAAGAAACTAACATAGGGACAGACTTTATTTTTTCTAAGCTCACAGGGATGTTATATACTGTACTGCCAAAGCTATGATTTTGTAACACATGGCTGTAAAGCTGGACTCTCGGAAAGGGGGGAAGCCTTTGAATTGCAATGCTGAAAAAATGGTTGACATAGAGCAAGAGTAAATCATACAAAACTAGATGAAGTTTTACTTCATTTATCAGGTTGCACAATGGAAGGTAATAATGAATCTAACACCTGTTTATTTTGAATAGATAATATAAGGAATAAATATGGAACTAAAAAGTTTCATTTGGTTTTTGAGTAAATTTGAGATTGTTAATGTAGTTTATTTTATTAAAATTAAATAATTAGTAATAATGATGTTTAATATGTTAGTTTAGGAGAGAGCTAAAGGATGTTATAGAATTGTTAACTTAAGGGTAATATAATTTAAGACANGGGGGGGGGAAGGGCGGGGTTCGAGGGAGGTGGGGAGTTATATTGTAAAACTTTTAAAAATTTTCAATAAAAAAAAAAAGATAATATAAGGAAAAGACCCTGATATTTGGGGAAAAATAAGTGGCAATAAAAAAAGAAGCCATCAGAAGACCTATATACATACAAGTTATTGCCTCAAAACTTTGATTTTCCACATGAAAAATATTGTAATACTTACTTACAAATATTTGAAAATGTAATATTTGATAAAAATATGCAGTAAATTTGTGTTTCGTTCAGACTCACCCTAAAACATATAAATCTTATTGTAGATTTAAGAATTTAACTGCTATTTTTTTTTTGTAATTTTACATTAAACACTGGAAAATGACTCTTTCTAAAAGTCTTAAATTCACACCAGGGCTTCCTATTGTTTGGACTTTTGGGAATGAAAGAACATGGTTAGATTATTTTGACATTCGCTGAGAACCCTGACTCTTATTTCCAATATTTCACAGTATCACATACATTTCAAAGGTGACCACTGATCAAACAGTAGATAGGTACGATATGGATATTTTTTGCTCTGAAGTACAACCTTCAGTACTACAATTAGAAAATGTTGAGAACTCTGTAAAACTGAATTGTCCTACATTTGGGGTATTTTTGAAGATATGCAAAAAGAAAGTCTCTGCCCAAGCAGCCCAAGTACAATTGGATAAAAATTAGGTGAGTGCAGTTCAGAAGAGAAATGTTAAGTATCTGGATGCTTTCTTTTTCCCCCTCCCCATCTCAAAAGGCCTAATATTCCTCAAGAAATCGTGAATACAATTTGCTAAATATGAAATTGGCCATGGAAGAAGTTACAGCTGCATTACTCCACACACGGTTTTATATATCAACACAGGGTTTTAAAAAAAAAAATGTTCTCAAAGACAAAGCAAAACTTCGCAGCATCTAGCATCATTCGAGTGCTTCAAAATTCACCGTAACTTTGACTCCTATGAAATCAGCCTATAAGGAGGTGAAGAAGAGCCATAATTAAGATCAAACCAACGGTCCAAAAAGGGAGCTGCTTACCTTGGGGGATTTGAAAATTAGCAGGCAACTGTATTGTCGTTTGTGCGGGTTTGAGTCCTCCCGAGAGAGGGGCTGGCTGCCTCCCACCCATGTTGCTAGACTTGGGGAGCTGCTGAACCGGAGTCGAGGGGGCTAGTTTGATTTCTACCGGAGCAGGCAGTACTCGGGGTTGAGGAGCGAAGGATGGGACGAAACTAAGGGGAAGCTTGGCGCCCACAGGATTCAGGACAAATCTAGCAGGGCTGCCCGTGGGAATCGCCGGACAGGAGGCGGAGGGAATCATTCTCTGAGCGGGCAGCACGGCCCGGAGCTCCTGGATCGTGTTAGCCGCGCTCACGGGGGGATCCAGAGCATGCTCAGGAGGCCCAGGAGCCATGACCCTCCCCAGGACGGCTCCTGCCGTCACCGGCGGAGTAGTCATGAAGGAGGAAAAAGGCACCGTAGGGCGCAGGACTAGAGCTTGCGGCGCAGTCCAAGCTATTCCACAGCATAGCAGCCGCCAAAGGTACTCGGGAGCTGAGCAAAAGCTCCGCAGTTGGCGGTGCGGCAAAACCAGCAGGAGAGTCCCCAGCTCGCACGCAAAGAACCACACGCTCACGCATCCGCCGCTGCTGCCGACGACCCTTTTCTCCCTCTTCGCAGGCATGCACGTGGGGATGCCCAGGCCGCCCGCCAGAAGGGGACGGGAGGAGGAAACAAGCGGCACGTGCCGCTGCGGGTGGTGCTACGCGGCACCACCCTTCCACAGATTAAATCCCCGCCCCGCCAGAAACTAAGGACGCCTTGTCTCTAATTTATACAGCATCGCAGAGCGCAGGCGTGTACTGTGCGCGTCTTTAGCTTTCTAGCACATGCATCCAATCGTTAGATTGGGCGGCCTTCATGGGACGTCACCGAAAGGAAGCGTTCCTCCCCGAAAGGCTGTTCTAGGCGGGAAAGTCGGTGGTAAAGCTTTTACTTTCGCCCGTGTTAATGCTTTTACTTTCGGCTGTGTTGTGCTTCAGGGTCCCTTAAAGTTATTTATTGCTCCAGACCTTTGCTTAACTGGTAATAGCAAATTAATCAGGGAAAGCATTTGCAAAGAACTGTTGATTCGCGAGAAAAGGAATTGGGACGTTCATTTCATTCCGTGCTATATCCAAGGATAAATAAACAGGGTCTCCCTTCTCTTAATTTCAGACGTTCTCTGCTATTGAATGAGCTCATGCTTCAAATTTTCACAATGCCATGTGCCACAAATCAATAGAAGCTACAGTAGCTATAACGATTTGTCAAAAATATAAGTTAGATGTGCCCTAGGGATTTTTGTCTGCTGAACATCCAAGGGCATTTCTCACATTCCAGGGTCCCCATGAAGAAAGCAATGAAGTCGAGCAATGCCATATGGGTATTCAAAGAATCACACAACTACATAAATGATGTAATTCATGGCATTTACATACAATATTATAACACACATGATATTATTGTGCTTTCTAGATTTTAGAAGAAACAAGCTCACCCTGGGCCACAAAGCAGTGCAACTATAAAAGCTTAGTTCAGGCTGCTGGCAATTTTATGGATTGTCCATTGAGTTTTCTTGACAACATTTTTAGAAATGATTTGCAGCTGCTTTCTTTCTACAGACAGGCCCAAGGTCAGCCAGCTAGTTGGCTTTGTGCCCAAGGCCATTCTAGAAGTCAGATTTCTCCACTTCTACTTCAGTGCTTCAACTGCTAAGTTAAATGGGCCTTTATATTAATTTTACTTGCTATAAAATTTCAAATTGATCTTTTCTTCCCTAATCTTTTTTTGCATTTTATTATTAATACTTACTTGCAAATGTTTTGCATGCTACAAAAAGTATACAAACATTTTGTGTTTCTTTCAGAGGCTTACACAAAAATGTATAAATGTTTCTACACCTAGCTCAGTTGCTAATTTCTTTTTAAAATTATAATATTGCATTATTTGTACTCATATTAACAATTCAGCTTATGAAACAATTACACATTTAGTTCTGGAAAACTTTCTGAGAAATTTTACTTCTTCAGAAAGGTGTCGATATGTATTTCCATCTTCAGAGGTTTTGCTGACTCATAAAAAATAATTTAATATATCTACTATAGATTACAACTGGTCTTGTACACAGTAAAAGTAATAGCAATAGCAATACTTTGGGACTCAGCTTTTTGATCACTGATGAATGCACTTAACATCTGGAGAGGCTGATAATCTGCAGTGGCTGATAATTTGCAGTGAGTAGACCATGCAAAGAACAAGACACAAATGGGATTTTGAATAGAATGAATATTTTAATGATACAGAGAGCATTTTATGACTTACTATAGTTTTGGAGATCTCAAAATAGAAGCAAATCAAGTTTAATATATCAAAGAATTCTGAAAAAATATGTTGCTTACTACAGACATAGACCAAAAGATTCTATGAAGTACCTTAGCTGTCCCTAACATTGCACTCTTCTGGACAGAGAGCTCTGACATTGTTCTTAGGATCTGTTGGGGCCATTCTCCAAGCTTATGGGTTATGACTCTGAGTGCTCCTACCACCACCAGAACCACTTTACTTTACTTTTCTTTCTACAGCCTCTTTAGTTTCTTCTTCAGACTTCTCATACTTCTTTCTGATGTCACCTGGCCTACAATGATCTGCCTGTCAGGGTGGATCTGGATGTCCCACACTATCTTAGCTTTGTTATTCTTCACAACCTTCTGTGGGATCTCCCATCTGGACTTAGGAGGATCTAGCCCATACAGAATGCCAGTTACTTGGTTCTGTCTTTGTCACAGCCTCTTTAAAGTACACCAAGTCAGTGGGCTCTAAAACTCAAAGAAGCCAATACCACAACAAAGGTCCCTAGACAACACACATGCACTAGCTTTCACAGTATTCATTGCTCACCAGAACTTTACTCTTCCCCATTGCTACCACACCTCCTACCACTGCTCCTCAAATTAGTACTCTTGTAAGTCCTAATATTGGAGAAACGTACGGTATCTCTTTTTAGATTTTCACCTTAAAATTTAATCTTGAGTTTAAAAAGAACCCTGAAACTTCCTTATTAATATAGTTTTCTTATTAACTTAAATATACAGTACATTAATTAAAAATGTGGTTTGTGCAGAAGATTTAGGCTGCCTATTTGTACAGCTTTAATGTATAAAGAGAAGTAACTTCACATATTGTTCTTTGCTATTACAATAAACATGAAGGTAGTAGCATGATTTAATCATGGTTTATTGAATAAACATTGCTCAGTCTATGAAATATGTTAAGGTGTAAAACATGGCTTACAAAGCACATTCACTGGGTTTGCATAGCCCCAAACCAAGATGCAAGGAATAGCACTACATTGTTTTAAGCTGAAATGTCACACAGGTTTGTGTACATTTGGTAAGGATTCTCAATCCATTCATTAACCTTGTTTTCCTCGCACATTAACACTGGAAATATAAGTGCTTTGTGCAAACTGTAAATCAGCTAAATGACCTAGTCGGCTAACCCTGGGTGAGTAACGAAATCAACTCATTGAATCAGTTATATCATGCCAGCTGCTTCCCAAGATAGTCATTCATCCATGAACATGGGGAGAGTGCATGAGCAAGTGAGAAAACATGCATATTTCCATGAGGTACAATCTCAGTTTCCTGCAGATGCCCATACATGTTCATAGAGAAAGCAAGGATGGGCAAGGTTTATGTCACCCAGAGTGACTTTCTTGTGAGATTGGCAGCTATGCAAGTGTGATCGACAAATGAATAATGAAGTTTGCATCAGAACACAAATCACGATTTACATATTTGTGCCCGATATCAAGAAGCAATTACAAAAGAATGAAGTTTGTGTTATGATGTTGCAATGCATGTTTTGCCATTTTTGTGTCATCACTATTTGCATTCATTCTTTCCCTATCTGAGACAAAGTGCTAGAATAACCCTATGAACATTTTAACATCATACATCAATACATTTTTAAATAAAATATTAAAAGGTCTGAGATAATTATGCTGTGGTTGTGTTTACAGAATATGCTAAGTCAGTATGCAGTCTGTTTGGTTTTTCCTTTACATCTTTATTGAAGATGTTATAAAATTATAACATTATTTATTGAAGAAACCACAACTAATTAGATTTGCTTGCTACCCTAAGCAAATGCCAAACAAACCATCTTACCATTTAGCATATTGTTTGCACAATGCATATTGTTTGCATATTGTTTGTATCAGTCTTTCCCAGTCTGCTGCTTCCATAACTTAATAAATATGTTTGCTAAGAATATAGGAGTTCTAATATATTTGGAAGGCACCAGACTGGTATAAATATCAGAAAGAACTCTTACAGTTATTATTGTTATATTATTTACTATTAGTAGATTCAGAACGATTTATTCCCAGTTAAATATGTAAAAGATTACAACTTTAATTAGCAATTGCATTTATGACCCATAAAAAAATATTTGTCTTCCATTTTTTCCCAAAGTCTATTATATCAGAATGAAAAGTTTTTGAAATCCAAAACCAAAAGATAATATACAGTATTTTTGGATTACTGAGGTCAGTGGAATACTCATCAATGATCATACGGTCCTAAAATTAATTTTAAAAAATAAATTGGTAAAATCCCATAAGATTATTAAATTTTATAAAATGTTGGTGTTTCTATCTAAAGCTTTGAATTTTGGAACAGAAATATTGAAACATCACTAGATTTCAAGCACAAACACCAAAATCTCACACAATTTGATGATCTTCTGAACTTTTGGACATTTAGAAATATATATTATTATTAATTGGTGTTGTTGTTGTTGTGTTGATGTGGTATCCCCCTGGGATTACTTGTTGTATTCTTTCACACTGAGAATCATTTATGGAGAGCAGAGAAAATGCAAATCACTTGAAAGAAGGAAAGGAGTTACTGTGTTTTCACTGCAACAATTTATGTCAAAAGAGGATCACATTTGTCTTACCCTATTCATACCAACTCTAGAAGCAGACACTTGTTTGGAAATGCACCATATCGAAGCTTATTTACACTACATAGTATGTTCCTAAGAAAACATGCTTGTTCCACATGTACACATATCTAAATGACTGTTTCAAACTTAATTTTGTCTGCTTTACTCTTTAGAAATACTGTATGTGTGATTTAGTTTTCAGAGTGAATAGACTGTCAGGCAGCCTAGCTATAAGTTGCCTCTTCTTTAGCTGTTACAGCAACTAAAGTGGCAAGCAGAGCTGTGTAGCAGTTCAAAGCTGTAGGAAAATTGATTTCTCTCTTGATGCCTAGACAATGTGTTAATTATCATATCAAATGAGAATATTAGGAGTGTTGTTTATTCACTAAAAATGTTGTTATTGCCATTCTTACTGCCTCTCAAAAAGTGCTCTTTTCTTGATTAAGGCCTTTTTCTCCAGTTCTGCAAAGGTTTGCAGTTAAACCAGGCATCTGACTAGATATGCATCTCAACTGATATCTTAGGAGAACTATAATTTTGGCAAAGGTACATGCAGTAGAAGTAAACAATCAAACCCTTATTAGGTGTAATCTCACATTAAAGTATCTTTTGTGTCTTATTGTTATGGTCCTTGAGGTAATGAATTGGACTTCATGAAGCACTCTTGATTATTTGAATTTAAGAGCCCTGCTT